TGAGTGAAACACGAGTGCCCATATTACGAGAGTAAACACGTGAGGGAGTGATTTGTGAGGTTACAATCTATTTTGTTTGTCATCAAAATTTTAGATTTGAAGATGGAGCCACAAGGGAGTGAAAGAACATCAAAAGATCAAGAATTCATATCTCAAAGCAATGTAACAACAATTTGAGAGGATTCAACTAGCTATTGGCGACATGAATGAGAAACTAGAGAAACAACAAAGTGAGTTAAATCCATGATAGGGGAAGCTTTCCAAACCAATCCAACGGCAAAAAGACTTCCAACACTACCTTTTGATGAGGAAGTGGAGGAAGAATTTGATGACTAAGCTACTTTGGTCAATGAAGGTCGAAATTATGGTAGGGGTCGAAACGATCTTGATAAAAATATTGGGAGCATCAAAATAAAAATTCCATCGTTTCTAGGCAAGAATGATCCGAATGCTTATCTTGAATGGGAGCACAAGGTGGAGCTTATTTTTGAGTGCCACAATTATTCGAAGGAGAAAAAGATAAAACTTGCGATCATGGAGTTTGGAGAGTTCATTGTGTGGTGGGATCAACTCATCACAAGTAAAAGGAGAAATAGAGAGAGATTTATTTCCACTTGGGCTAAAATGAAGGCTGTCATGAGAATGCGCTTTGTTCCTACTCACTACTATAGGAACTTACATAAAAAATCGTAAGGCCTTATACAAGGGAACAAGAGTGTAGAAAACTACTACAAAGAGATGGAGATAGCCATGATAAGGGCTAATATTGAAGAGGATAGGGAAGCTACTATGGCAAAGTTCTTAAATGGCCTTAACAAAAACATAACCAACATTGTAGAGCTTTAACATTATGTGGAGATTGATGATATGGTGCACATGGCTATAAAGATTGGAAGACAATTAAAGCAAAAGGGGAACACAAGGCAAGCCAACACTTAAATTCCAATTGGAGACCAAATTAGAAGGGAGATAACAAGGCTTCCAATTCAAAAGAGATGACAAAACCAAGCCAAAAGATA